AAACGCGAGTGAAAAATAGAACGGAATTAGAGCACCGAGAGAGAAAGGAAGGCTGCTTTGCAGGTTAGCTATAGTACTGAGATGTTCAACAGCTGAGATTTTACAACTGTACAGCTATGTTATGCAATGGAAATTTCACTCGTCGTGTTAAAACTAATCCGATGTTCTCAGCTTTTAAGTTAACTTGGATACGGCGATATCCCGCGAAATTCTGTTCATCTTACATGTAAGCACAATGTTCCACTGTTGACTGAGAATAAAGAAATTTTCACTTTCCTCAAAATACACTACAAAGCACAATAATTGCGGATTAAATTGTTCAATGACCTTTGATATTATCTGCTGTTTTTGAAGTGTTTTAATGCCCAATATCCTAGACCTTTAGAATATAACCACGTGCGTGTAATTCTTTGGACAGACCCCACAGCAAATGGGTCGCATATAGATAAAATCTAGCGTGTTATTAGCCTCCTGCGAGATGTCCTTTGCACTCGCCAGGAAATCGTTTTTAGAAAAGTGAATTTGCTTAAATTTAAAAGTCGAATTTATAACAGCGATCCTAATGAAAAACAGTTGAACCACGCTATTCCAAACTCTCAGGGGAAACGAAAAATAGTTCGAAATAACGGGAGTTTGAAATAACCGATTGTAAATGATTAAAGGGCAAATCCAAGAGAAATGGTTGTAAAAGTTCGAAATAACAGGGACTTCCAAAAAATCGTGTTCGAATATAGCGGGGTCCAACTGTAAATGTACTTAAGCAGTGTAATGCTTGGAGAAAGGACAAGCAACATACAATTTGTTTCCACGTATTCTTGCCCCATCTGATATTCGAATAGTCCTACTAAGCAAAAACGCGCGGGAAAAAGCTGGCGCGCGGCAATTTTTTTCACCGCAGACTGTTTACATTTAAATTTTTTTACATGCCAAACGTTGCCCACCCCGTCACGGTGTGCTGGTGCTGGTGCAGGTGCATTAAGCAGATTTCTTTTCACAAAATACTGAATTCCACGTCCATTTTTTCCACTTCGTTCAATTTTCCCCTCTGGTTTTTACTTCTGCCGCGACAATTCATAATAACACGAGAAATTGCTCGCAGTCTTGAAAATAACGCGTTTTGCTCCCAGTTTATCAATAACTAACTTCAATTTTCATTTGTCCAAAGTCCTTTCAGTGGAGTCTTTGCAAATTGTCCTTCCAGTTCCAAAACAGTGTTTCTAATGTCCGCGTGAATTTCATTCACATCTTTCATGGCATCAACAACCTGACAACAAACAAGAAGAGCAAGTTTAAGAACAACGTCCAGAAATCACGAGGGGAGTAGCCTGTGTTGCAGGCGGGGACGGATAGGGGGAAACTACATGTAGAAGCCTTTGAACACCTGTCACGCAGACTACGAGGGGAGGTACGGCAAGTTTCCTTGGTCGGAAAGCTAGTCCAAACAAGTACTCCCTTTTCTCAGGTCACAAATAGAAATGTTTGGTTGTGTGAGAAAAGAGTTAGGGGAGGGTGTTAACCTGCGATAGCTTGACTTGTACGTGGGAGTTTCATATCAATATAATTTTATACCGCGTTTACATGAAAAGACACCTTTTCTTCACCCCATGTCCAACTTGGCTCACGTGAAGCCAGTTGGCACACGTGTGCGTTACCCGTTCCAGTCTGCCGACGGAGGTACACCAACATGGCGTTTTCATACTGCCCACCGAGACAGCTTCCTGAAACGAGCTGTTGTTTGTCGTTTACTTGAGACCAGTGCCAGTTTTCGTACACAAACGAAAATTATCTCGACCAGGGAACAGCGATGGGACTCAACTAGCCACGTTATAACTCGTTCTGGCGCAACATTTTGTGTTGGTGTCATGTAAACGAATGCAGAACCACAAGAGGGAACCAGGAGGAACTCGTATCGGTATAGAAGTCATACAGGACTCAACCTAACAACCCTTTAACAAACAACAAGAGCCCAAATATCCGTATTTTCCCTTTCTTTATCACGCCTATCTAATACGCTTTTTCTTTCGCACAGTCTGAAGTCTGTAACTGTAACTTAAATCTGTCTTGGCATTTTCTTTTTTTAGTGAAATATTATTCTGTGGTGCTTTTGAATTAGAGATCTTTTGTACCACCATTCTGTGGTAAAAGTATTTCAGTCAGTAGATAAGACTCTGAAGAAAGACAATTGAACGGGGAGAATTTTCTTTTCTGATTGAGTCTGCAAAGTGCATTTCATACCTCTTGCTAACGGAATTCGAGGACCCAGTTTTTTTCCCCATCGATTTATGGCCCACGAAAGCGCGAAGCGAGCGGGCCATAAATCGACGGATAAAAAAAACGAGGATCCGAAATTTACAGTACGCACCGAGAAGACGAGATTTGTGAGATATTTATTATATCTCTACTGTGTGCCTGGCGGGTTCGAGAACGATTTCTATTCACGCGGAACGGCTTCAAATTTCTGAAGCACCTCGAAAGCAAAACGAGCCAATTTAAAATCGTTTTTAAGACGTAGCACGCTTTAATACACAATTTAGAGTAAAAGAAAGTTTTGAACTTTAACTTGCTACAAAAGGTAAGAACACTTGGCAATAAATCACAGACCAGTTTGGCAACAAAAACAACTTTAAATTTTAGCGAGCCCTACAGGAGAATACGGCCCGCTAAACTGACCAATCACAGCGCGAGTACTGACTGAGAGACATAATAAATAAACAACAGACTCCATTTGGCGCGAAAATATGCTAGGATATTTGTCCGCTGACATTACCTGTTCCGAGAAGCGAACAGTTTTCCGAGAGTAGCTCGAGGAAAACTGTGAGCTTCGAGGATCAGATAATGTCCAAGGACAAATATCCGAGCATATTTTGGCGCCAAATGGAGGCTATTGTGTTTATATTCATTCAAACGAGAAGAATTCGTATTTATATTCCTTCAACACGAGGCGAGTGATTTACGAATTCTTCGACTGTTCTTCCAACATCCCAAGTGGTTTATCATGCCTCCAAACCATAAAAACTTGTGGTCTATTGCTTTTATATAATAATTCAGAAGACACACGAAATTTCCATGTGTTTACTGGCACAATAAATCATAGCTGATTGACCAATCAGAGCGCGTGCATTCATTTAATCATTATATAATGAGCAATATCCCCCAGTTTTCAAAAATTGCATTTTACGTTGACGCAATCAATTTCTCTCTGATAAATTGCCTACTGAGAAGAACTGAATGTTATGAGACTTGCATGATTTTTGAATGTTGACAAAATTGCATTCCGCTTGACCATAGAGAGACCAAGTGTGAACATACATTTGTATTTCATGGATTATGAACACAACTTATGACCCATCAAATATTTTTCACACATGCAACTGGTCTATATATGTCAGGTAGGAAATATTCAATGATATTCCCCCAGATATAATCTTCATTTTCCAACATTTTTATATATTGTAAGCAGATTAGTACAATAATATTCTTGAATGCCAACATAATTATTTTCACATTTCACATCTTGAAAAGGAGGTCTCCCAAAAAGATGGACTTGTACAGACATCTCAGAAGGATAGCAAACTCAAAGATGTCCTTGTATCTTATTATAAGTAGACTAAGAATTGTGCCGTATCTAACATAGAGTAAATATTGTACCGTACTGTAAGTAGAGAGCATTGTATCCTATTGTAGCTAAAGTAAATATTGTTCCATGCTGTAAGTTGAGTAAAATATTGTATTGTATAGTAAGTAGAGTAAGTATTGTGTCATACTGTATGTAGAGTTAGTATAAGTATTGTTTCTACAAGTAAAGTATTGTAAAAAAGGTAGCAAATTGCAGAAAATAGAGTGCTGTTAATAACAAAAGTGACTATGTGTTAAATTACTAATTAAAAAAAAACCCTCAATAAATTCTATTTGGCTTCAGGAATGCATGATCCATATTTATCAGCAGACATTATCTATTCCTCTCAGCTCAGTGTTTCTTGATCTTTGCTCTTGGAAAAATGTTTCCCTCTCAGAACAGATATTGTCCAATGAAAAGTATTTAAGCATATTTTCCCACCAAATGGAGGTTAAGGTTTATATATCTTCCGTTTGGCTTCAAACATATGCATTTTATTAGTCCTTGAAAACTTTGTTACTCAAAGCTCCTATTTTACCCAAAGCTCCACTATTTGAAATTGCATACTTCCCAAAGGAGATAATGTCCACAGTGAAAGAACTGTTCATATTTTTACACTACATGAGGGTCACTGTATTGTTAAGTACTAATTTAACCAGTCATGACCAGTGGAGAATCTGAGTTTTACTGCAGCTGTTCAAATAACTTTTTCTGAGTAGTTTGTGTAAAAATTCAGTTCCATTCAATTCAATTTTAATTTAAACTCTCACAAACATTAATTTTACAGAGGTGTCAGAGAAAAATAGAATACATATCAATATATACAAAATACACATAGAAGATGATAAATAGCATTAATGAAATAATTTACAATTGCAATTAAAAAATAAAGTGTTAAAGAGAGAAAGAAAAGGAGATAAAGGAAGACAGTTAGTTTTAATACAAGGTTGATCATGTGGAGTTTGGGACAACTAAATAGT